AGGTCCATAGATGGCGTTGATATCGGCACTCTTCACTCTAGCAACGGAGTTGATATCGTAACAAGCAGTGAGTGAGATGAGACAGGCTGTGAGGACTGTAGAGCAGTGAGGTGAGACAGGGTGTGAGGACTGTAGAGCAGTGAGGTGAGACAGGGTGTGAGGACTGTAGAGCAGTGAGATGAGACAGGGTGTGAGGACTGTAGAGCAGTGAGGTGAGACAGGGTGTGAGGACTGTAGAGCAGTGAGGTGAGACAGGATAAGAAGAGTGTAGAGCAGTGAGTGAGGTGAGACCTCACTCACTGCTCTACACTCCTCACAGCCTGTCTCACCTCACTGCTCTACACTCCTCACAGCCTGTCTCACCTCACTGCTCTACAGTCCTCACACCCTGTCTCACCTCACTCACTGCTCTACACTCCTCACAGCTTGTCTCACTCACAATATACGCTCTCATGAAGACTAAACCCCATGCCAGATGTTTCATCGCTAATGGATCACTGCCGCTAACGTTGACCCAATATTGAATTTATGTCACTAACGTTCATCCAATATTGTATCACCGTAACTAATGAACAAATCCAGAAGGGACATGATGACGGTTCGAACCTACGCACGGGATGTTCTCTGACGCGCCTTAGTCAATTGTACCACAACATGGTAAAATAATTGCAACCTGGGGTGCTACTTTCGTCACGAGGATCCCGAAGCTTTCCCAGCGCAGAACCAGGGTTTTACTCAATTCCCCCCACGTACCCGGGTTCTGTCAACCAGATGTTTTATCATGTTGTGGTACAGTTGACTAAGGGGCGTCTGGGAACATCCCGTGCGTAGGTTCGAATCCTCGTCACGGACCTTGTGAATTTGTTCATTTGATATATTACGCTATTGTGATTTCTATGAGTACCGTAATTGATGTTGATCATATATTGTATCCAAGTTACTCTAAAGTCACTGAAGTGTGAAATATTTTAGTCAGACACTCTGCATTACTTGAAATAATATTTAAATGAAGGTGAGAGTTGAGGTTCCAAATAATTATATATTTTCATCATATAAAAAATTTCTACAGTCTAAATTATTAAAACGTTTCTAAGCATTTTAAAGGCAATATATAACTGCAATAATTTTATGAATATATTTTATTAGCTCTTAGATTTCAGCTAATATTCACATAAAAACTTCTACTTATTTTTTAAAAATTAATAATTTTATCAATGGCTCTGCCTATACTGTTACCAGTCAGCCATTCGGTTGCTCCCTAAGCTATATTAATTGAATTTTGACAGTCTACTTTTAGTAGACTTTATAAGTATGTGTGTATAATCCAGCGTCACAATTTAATAATTGATACGCTGGTCTACTGCTGGAATTTTTAGTTTACCGTAATTACAATATTTCATTGCTTCAGTGTTTATATTTAGGCAATTTACATATTTCAATTTCATTATGTACATACCTGCTTGATGGGGTTCTGGGCGTTCTACTCCTTAAGCCTGGCCCGAGGCCAGGCGTAACTTGAGTGAGCTCTCCACTAGGTTGTTGCTTGGAGCGGACCGCAGGCACACATCCACCACAGCCCGGTTGGTCCGGCACTCCTTGGAGGAAACTATCTAGTTTTCTATTGAAGATATCCAGGGTTGTTCCAGCAATATTTTTTATAATCGCTGGGAGGGTGTTGAACAACCGTGGACCTCTGATGTTCATACAGTGTTCTCTGATTGTGCCTATGGCACCCCCTGCTCTTCACTTGTTTTATTCTGCATTTTTTCCATATCGTTCACTCCAGTATGTTGTTATTTTACTGTGTAGATTTGGTACCTGGCCCTCCAGTATTTTCCAGTGTATATCATTTGGTATCTTTCCCGTCTTTTTTCTAGTGAATACATTTGGAGAGCTTTGAGACGATCCCAATAATTTAGGTGCTCTATCGCGTCTATGTTCTCTGTATTCCCTGTATTTCAGCAATCTCTCCTGCTCTGAGGGGGTAAGTGGGTACTGAGCAGTACTCAAGACGGGACAGTACAACCATTGTGATGGGATCCCTGGATTTGAAAGTTCTCGTAATCCATCCTATCATTTTTCTGACTGACGCAATATTTGTTTGGTTATGCTCCCTAAACGTTAGGTCGTCAGACATCATAATTCCCAAATCCTTTACATGCTGCTTTCCTACTATGGGGACATTTGATTGTGTTTTGTGCCCTGTATTATGTTTAAGGTCCTCATTTTTACCGTACCTGGAATTTATCACTGTTAAACATCACGTTATTTTCTGTTGTCCAATCGAAAACTTTATTAATATCTGCTTGAAGTTTTTCAATGTCTTCAGCAGAGGTAATTTTCATGCTGATTGTTGTGTCCTCTGCAAAGAATGATACGATGCTGTGATTTATATTTTTGTCTATATCTGATATGAGAATAAGGAAAAGCAGTGGTGCAAGGACTGTACCCTGAGGTACAGAGTTTTTAACTGCGCTTGGACTCGATTTTATATGGTTAACTGATACTCTTTGTGTTCAATTCTACAAAAAACTGAGTAGCCAGCGTCCTACTTTACCGGTTATTCCCATTGACCTCATTTTGTGTGCTATCACTCCATGGTCACATTTATTGAATGCCTTTGTGAAGTCCGTGTATACCACATCTGCATTCTGTTTTTCTTCTAATGTGTCAGTGACTTTGTTGTAGTGGTCAAGTAGCTGTGAGAGGCACAATCTTCCCGCTCTAAATCCATGTTGGCCTGGGTTGTGAAGGTCATTGATCTCCATGAAACTGGTGACCTGAGTCCTAATCACTTTTTCAAATACTTTCATTATGTGGGACGTTAGTGCAACTGGTCTATATTTCTTTGCCAATGCTTTACTCCCTCCTTTGTGTAGAGGGGCTATGTCTGCTGCTTAAAGCGCATCTGGTATTGACCCCGTGTCCAAGCTCCACACAATGCTGAGTGCCTGTGCTACTGGCACCTTGTATTTCTTTATAAATATTGAATTCCGTGAATCTGGACCCGGAGCTGAGTGCATGGGCATGTTTTCAATTTCACTTTCTAAATCTGCCACACTCGTGTTGATATCAATTATATTTACAGGGGTTTGGATGTCACGCATAAGGAAGTTGTCAGTTTCGTGTTGTTTATTGGAGTGCTAAACATGTCCTCATACTACTTTTTTTAGGATTTCACTAATTTCTTTGTCATCCTCCGTGTATGAACCTTCACTCGTACGAATAGGTCCAATACTGGCAGTAGTTTTTGCTTTTGATTTCGCATATGTGAAGAAATATTTTGGATTTGTCTTTATATCCTGAATTGCTTTCTGTTCTAGCTGCCTTTCTTCAATCTGATATGAGTGTTTCAATTTCTGCTCGATTTCTTCAATCTCCCTGTTGAAATTACTCCTTCTTTGTAGGGAAAGTTGTGTCTGCTTAAGCATTTCCGTGATTTTTTCCTTCTTCTATAGCATCGTCTGCGTTCTCTTTCTACGTTGCACCTCTTTCTGGCTTTCCTCAATGGAACTTGTTTCAGACCGACTTGATATACTTCCGAAGTCGGGTTTTCTATTCTTCTGTAGGACTTGTATCACTTAGAACAGTTTCCCATGGAATGTTTGTAAGTTCTCTGTTTATTGTTTCCAAGTGAATCCTTTTATTATTAAAATTGAATTTACTGAATAACCCCTCTTGCTTGATCATTGTTTTAGGTCTATTCTGAGTACTGACGATAGTTTGCTCTTCAATGAGCTTGTGATCTAAGTATGTGTTATCGGATCATAATGTCCCTGATTATGTCTTCATTGTTTGTAAAGACCAGATCTAGAATATTTTCGTTTCTCGTTGGCTCTGATATCTACTGGTTGAGTGAAAATTTCTCACAGAATCTCATCAGTTCTCTAATCTGTGGTTGGTTACGTCCCGATAGATTACCTGGTATTATATTATTGTTTTCTATTCTCCATCTTAGATTTGGCAAGTTGAAGTCACCAAGGAAGATAATATCAGGTATCGGGTTCGCCAAATTATCAAGGCTATTCTCTATTATGTTTATATGTTCTGCGAATTCCTCAGCCGTTGTATCTGACAATTTGTATATTAGAATAAGATCTAAGTTTATTTTCTCTATTTTTACTCCCAGTACCTCTACCACCTCATTTGTAGAGTCAAGGAGTTCCGAGCATACAATGTCTTCCCTAATATACAGACCTACTCCTCTATGTGACCTAATTACCCTATCACACCTGTATAGGTTATATCCTGGTATTCAGATCTCACAGTCCAAGAATTCCCCTGCATGGGTTTCTGTGAAAGCTCCAAATACTGCATTTGACTCAGTGAGGAGGCCATTTATGAATTGTACTTTAAGTTTTTGTTCTTGTTTTTAGTCCTTTTATGTTAGCAAAGATGAATGAGATTACTCGATTTGGGATAGTTTGACTGGGAAACTTTTTTGGCAGGTCCATTATGCGTAGACATATTAAGTTTGTTCTGACTAGTGCCTGGGCCCTTCTTCGTTTCTTCTCCATTAAACCCATATCTTCCTTCATACCTGTATTTGGAACACAGTGGACCTTGTTTTGCTTGATACCATGCAGGGGCCTTCTGAGTTAATACATATTCGTCTGCCATCGTGGCGGCCACTTCCAATTACCCAATTCCATAAAGTGATGTGGTGGGGTTAAGACTCCATACACCATTCCATATGTAGATATGATAGTGCTCGAGAAGCTCAGGAATCTATACACCAGTAGATCGACGGGTGAGAGGCGGTACAATGACCCCAAGCTCAACCCCCCGCAAGCACAACTAGTTGAGTACAACCAGGTGAATACAGAGTTATAAACCCATGGAACTACCTACGCGCCAAATTAGTAACTACATAAACTGTGTTGAGTTTTAAAATACTCCTAGAAAAGATCCAGGAAAGGGGGTAATTTCGACTAGCCGTCGGCTTTCTGTCCTCGTCGAGGCCATTAAGGGCAGTGTCCCTCAGGGAATCAGGTGAAACCAGATAAATGCTAATCCTAAGGATAAAAGTCATCCTTGAGCAGGGGCCATGCTAATCTTCTTTGTATCAGGCCAATGTTAGTATTTACCAGATTACTATATAATTTTATGGTATTTTATATACCACCTTAGTATGAAATAAATATGGGTCCATCATATACATGGGGTCCCTTTAGACCTGCGAAAGCGTGCTCACTCAAACACATTAGCCGCCTGGGGAAACCTATTGTGACAACAAAAGAACACCATTACAATATTACAATAATAAAATCCTTACCAAAAATGGGTTTAATAATAAAATTTGGTCCCCTAGGGCTGGCTGACCCCGTGGGCCCTGGCCGAGGAAGGCGTTCGGCACGTGGTGTAGGATCCTGCAATGCGTGTGAGGAGGTAGACTGAGTGGTGCGACTGACTGCAGCAGAGTAACCCACCCAAGGTTGTTGTAATAGATGGGCTATGGTGAGCCAGTAACTTACCTGGCACAGGAGCGGAGCAAGTAGCACGGACTATGGTGAGCCCGTAGTGGACTTCTTCTTCTTGTTGATAGTAGGTGCAGTTTGCATGAAGGGTTTGTCCTCCCGATGACTGCACCAGTACTGATGTTGTTGGACGCGTTTATGTTGAAGATGATCGGAGCTACCAAGGTGTTTGTTGCGTTGTGCTGTATATAGAGGAACGGTGATTAAAACAGAAGTGCGTGTTGTAGGGAGACTTGCTGCACCTTAGGGCGGTGTGTTGTGTTTATGGCGTCAGCTGATCCATGGTACTGCGACGAGGCAGTTGTTTTCTGTGCTTAGCTGTTGAAGAAGATGAAGATGAAGATTAAGCCACCTAAAAGGTGGCACGGGCATGAATAGCCCGTAAGTGGTGGCCCTTTTGAGCCATTACCAGTATCAATAGCTGATACTGGAGATCTGTGGAGGTGCGACTGCACCCTGCGTGACGGGAGATGTCTCCCGTGGCTTAGCTGTTGGTGGCGCCAGGTATAAATATGGCGCGGGTCAGATGTGACCCAATTTGTTGGTCGATTGGAGATACAAATTGGGTCACATCTGACCCGCGCCACATTTATACCTGGCGCCACCAACAGCTAAACAGAAAACAACTGCCTCGTCTTACCTGGCACAGGAGCGGAGCAAGTAGCACGGGTTATGGTGAGCCCGTAGTGGACTTACCTGGCACAGGAGCGGGCCTGTAACTTGTGGACGCAGAGGAGTCACACATATTGTGTGTATAAGAACATAAGAACATAAGAACAAAGGTAACTGCAGAAGGCCTATTGGCCCATACGAGGCAGCTCCTATTCTATAACCACCCAATCCCACTCATATACTTGTCCAACCCGTGCTTGAAACAATCGAGGGACCCCACCTCCACAATGTTACGCGGCAATTGGTTCCACAAATCAACAACCCTGTTACTGAACCAGTATTTACCCAAGTCTTTCCTAAATTCACTGGAAAGGCGAAGAGTTAGGGGTGACATGATAGAGGTTTACAAGTGGATGAATGGACATAACCGGGGGGATATTAATAGGGTATTAAAAGTATCAACACAGGACAGAACACGAAACAATGGATATAAATTGGATAAGTTTAGATTTAGGAAAGACTTGGGTAAATACTGGTTCAGTAACAGGGTTGTTGATTTGTGGAACCAATTGCCGCGTAACATTGTGGAGGTGGGGTCCCTCGATTGTTTCAAGCACGGGTTGGACAAGTATATGAGTGGGATTGGGTGGTTATAGAATAGGAGCTGCCTCGTATGGGCCAATAGGCCTTCTGCAGTTACCTTTGTTCTTATGTTCTTATGTTCTTATGTTCTTATGTAAATCTAAACTTATCCAATTTATACCCATTGTTTCGTGTTCTGTCCTGTGTTGATACTTTTAATACCCTATTAATATCCCTCCGGTTATGTCCATTCATCCACTTGTAAACCTCTATCATGTCACCCCTAACTCTTCGCCTTTCCAGTGAATGCAACTTAAGCTTTGTTAATCTTTCTTCATATGAAAGATTTCTAATTTGGGGAATTAACTTAGTCATCCTACGCTGGACACGTTCAAGTGAATTTATATCCATTCTATAATATGGCGACCAAAACTGAACTGCATAATCTAAATGGGGCCTAACTAGAGCAAGATATAGCTTGAGAACCACACCAGGTGTCTTGTTACTAACACTGCGATTAATAAATCCAAGTGTCCGATTTGCCTTATTACGAACATTTATGCATTGATCCTTTTGTTTTAAATTCTTACTAATCATAACTCCCAGATCCCTTTCGCAATCCGACTTCGCAATCACAACACCATCTAGCTCGTATCTTGTAACTCTATCATCATTACCTAACCTCAGAACTTTACATTTATCAGCATTAAACTGCATCTGCCAATCCTTTGACCATTTCAAAAGCCTATCTAGATCAACTTGAAGTGATAGTGAGTCCTCCTCCGAATTAATTTCCCTACCGATTTTCGTATCATCGGCAAATTTGCAAATGTTGCTACTCAAACCTGAATCTAAATCATTTATATATATTATAAACAACAGAGGTCCCAGGACAGAGCCTTGAGGCACTCCACTTACAACATTTTCCCACTCTGACTTGATTCCATTTATACTAACTCTCTGTTTCCTTTGGTATAGCCATGCCCTAATCCAGCTTAATATAGCACCCCCAATACCATGAGACTCTATCTTTTTAATCAGTCTTTCATGTGGCACTGTATCAAAAGCTTTGCTAAAGTCAAGGTATACAACATCGCAATCCTTACCACTATCAACTGCCTCAACAATGCTAGAATAAAAAGATAACAAATTTGTTAAACATGAACGGCCATTTATAAAACCATGTTGCGACTCAATTATTAATTTATGTTTTTCAAGATGAAGACGAATTTTATTTGCTATTATAGATTCGAGTAACTTTCCCATAATAGACGTTAGGCTAATTGGTCGATAGTTAGACGCAAGTGATCTATCTCCTTTCTTAAAAACTGGTATCACATTAGCAACTTTCCAAAACTCTGGCACTCTGCCTGACTCTATTGATTTATTAAATATGGTTGACAGTGGGTCACAAAGCTCCTCTTTGCATTCTTTAAGCACCCTGGCAAACACTTCATCCGGCCCTGGGGATTTGTTTGGTTTGAGTTTTACTATTTGTTTAAGAACATCCTCCCTGGTAACTGTTAAACTCGTCAACCTGTTCTCGTCCCCACCCACATAGACTTGTTCGGCTGAAGGCATATTGTTAAGTTCCTCTTTAGTAAATACAGATACAAAATATTTATTAAAAATACTACTCATCTCTTCATCACTATCTGTTATTTGACCTGTCTCAGTTTTTAATGGACCTATCCTTTCCCTAGTCTTAGTACGATATAACTGAAAAAACCCTTTAGGATTTGTCTTTGCTTGCCCTGCTATGCGAACTTCATAGTTTCTTTTTGCTTTCCTTATCTCTTTTTTAACATTTCTAACCAGTTGTACGAATTCCTGTTCTAAAGTGACCTCCCCATTTTTAATCCTTTTGTACCAAGCTCTCTTTTTACCTATAAGGTTCTTCAAATTCTTTGTTATCCACTTTGGGTCATTAGTATTCGATCTATTCAATTTGTATGGTATACTACGTTCCTGTGCTTTGTTTAGAATATTCTTAAATAAGTTATATATTGAATCCACATCGAAATCCCCATTTAAGTCACCTATCGCTGGGTTCATGTCTCGCTCCAAGACCGGCCCACACCCCATACCCAAGACTTTCCAATCAATTTGACCCAAAAAATTTCTTAGGCTATTAAAATCAGCTTTTCGAAAATCTGGCACTTTAACAGAATTTTCTCCTACTGGTCTATTCCATTCTATGCTAAATCTGATTTCTTTGTGATCACTGCTCCCTAGCTCACTCCCTATTTCGATGTCATTAATTTGCGTTTCCCTGTTGGTTAACACTAAATCTAAAATATTATTTTCCCGTGTTGGTTCCTTAATGTGTTGCGTAAGAAAGCAATCGTCAATTAATTCTAGAAAATCTTCTGCTTCACTATTCCCTGTTTTGTTCAACCAGTTTATTCCGCTAAAATTAAAGTCACCCATGACATAAATACTGTTAGATCTAGATGTTCTAGATATTTCATCCCATAGATGCTTTGCTTCCATTCTGTCTAAATTTGGTGGCCTATATATTACTCCTATTATAATATTATTGGCTTTTTCGTTTAATTCAATCCAAATAGTTTCTGTGTGTGGCTCTGTTTTGATTCCCTCTTTGAGACTACATTTCAAATTGTCCCTAACATATATGGCTACTCCACCTCCTCGTCTAATATATCTATCTGTGTGAAATAGTTTAAATCCATATATTTGATATTCAGCTAATAGTTCTCTATTTTCTACATTCATCCACGTTTCGGTAAGTGCAATAATATCTATTTTTTCTGTGCAGACAAGAGCATTTAATTCGTTAATTTTATTTCTTAGACTTCTACTGTTAGTGTAATATACCCTAAGTGAATTGTTATTTTGCGGACCTTCTCTTTCCCTGATCGTTTTGCCAATTCCTTTCTCCCACAAACACATACTTTTATTACCTCCTTCCTCCAAATCAATTCCCATACCTCTATCTACTAACAGTTTAAACCCAAACAAACACCTCTAACCACTTCTTCTAACGAGTTCGCAACAGCAACAACCCCAGCTCTCGATAGATGCACCCCATCACGAGCATACATTTCATTTCTTCCATAGAAGTGTTCCCAGTTGTCTATGAAAGATATTGCATTTGATTTGCAATATCTTTCCAGCCGGCAATTGACACCAAGTGCCCTCGATATCCATTCATTTCCCACTCCCTTTCTTGGAAGAATGCCACATATGATCGGGATTCCTCCCTTGCTCCTAACTAACTCTATGGCTGTTTTATACCTCTGAATCAGTTCCTCACTCCTAACTCGACCAACATCATTTCCTCCCACGCTAATGCAAATAATGGGATTGTTCCCATTACCAGCCATAATATCATTCATGTTGTTTATAATATCACCAATGCCAGCTCCGGGATAGCAAACCCTTAACCTGTTCCCCCTATCTCTAGCACAAAACGTTCT